TCAGTTTCAGCAGCGGCTGAATCTGGACGCCAGTTCCGACTTACATACAGATTCAACTTAAGAACAAACCTACAGTCCCTATTTTGTACGTAACCCGGGGACTGCCTGTAGTTTTTTAGTCTGGATGCATTAGTTCGAATTAGAGCGGCTGAATCTGGACGCCAGTTCCGACTTACATACAGATTCAACTTAAAAACAAACCTACAGTCCCTATTTTGTACGTAACCCGGGGACTGCCTGTAGTTTTTTAGTCTGGATGCATTAGTTCGAATTAGCTTAGTTCGAATTAACTAATTCGAACGAAGTTAGTTTGAATTAGCGCTGTAATGTAGACATACCCTGAGTGTGTTTTTATAGACACAGCTCATTTTGGGCCTTCTTATTAGTAGAGCTATTCACAGTGCTCCGCACTAAATAGGAGTCTAAATTGTTTCAGGTTTAGGGTACATCTACACTGCAACCTTATTTTGAAATAACTAGCTTTATTTTGAAATAACTTAACTGCCTGCTGTATGGACACAAACTATTTTAAAATAATGTCGAAATACTGTCAAACTGGAGGATTTCTAACTCCGACTCCTGTAACCCTCATTGTACAAGAAGTAAGGGAAGTCAGAGGAAGAGTGCTCTATTTTGAGATAAGTGCTATGTAGACACACCCTTAGGCTACGTCTAGACTGTAAGCCTCTTTTGAAAGAGGCTTTTTCAAAAGATACTTTCGAAAAAGAGCATCTAGACTACAATCAGTACTTTCGAAAAAGCAAGTTGCTTTTTTGAAAGAGAGCACCCAGGCAGTCTGGATGCTCTCTTTCGAAAAAACACAGTTTCCGTTAACTAGCACGTTCATTTGAAAGAGCACTTTCGAAAAAAGGCGTTCTTCCTCGTGAAATGAGGAGGACCACCGTCAGAAGAAAAGCTGCGTTCTTTCGATTTAATTTCGAAATAACAGCTGTAGTCTAGACGCAGGTGAAGCTTTTTCGAAAAAAGGCTACTTTTTTCGAAAATACCCTGCAGTCTAGACACAGCCCACTAGAGTCCATCTTGCAGAGAGAGGATAAAATGTAAGTCAGACTACATCAGAGTTTACTCAAAGCAGGTGTTCATTAAACTAGATGTTTTAAAAGTTTCCTTTTTAGTATCCACCTTTATCTTGGGATTTCTGTTCAGCTGCTGTGAATGGTTGGTGTCTCTTCAGTTAAATCAGTTTTTTGTTGGTCTATTTTTTACAGTCAGATTACAAACAGACTATGCTAATATAACATTTGAGATGTTTCCTCCTTTCAAGACTGAAATTAGCAGACTGATTCAATATGGAAATGTGACACATAATAGAGAACAAAAATAGGTTAGCTAGGGCATATGTCCTTTATTTGTATTCCTGTCATTCAGAATTCATTTTGGTTAAGGCTGTCTTATTTTTTTGTCTGTGATACTTTCAATCTGCTGTAATTATATATTTTTCTTTCTTACAGGATTGGGTTGTTAGTAAATTTGGCAGAGTTTTACCTATCCTTCACCTTAAGAGTCGATACAAAAGCAAAATATCCTTTCCTACTGTATGAGTAAATATTGAATGACCATAGACAATTCCATTATTCTCTTCATTTATTTACCACTTTTACAGAAATATCTTCTTTCCTCAGTAAAAGTTTTCATATTGTTGATACAGGTTGGACCTCTGGCACCCTCAGGACCTAAGTGGTCCCTAATTGAGGGAGTTTGCCAGATCAGGGGAGGTTAAGCCTTGGACTCTTCCAGAGCTTCCCTTCTGATCATGGCCCAGGCTAGTGCATTGCCTCCAGCCTGCCTTCTGGACTCTGCTGTCCCCAGCCCGCTGTTGGGGCTTCTCTCCAAGCTAATTGAAGGGTTCCCTGGCCCCAGCTGCTGGCCAGGCTCCCTGTACCCAGGACCTCTGCAGCTGGGGCTTTCCGGCACCATCCATGATCCTGCTGGATATGTCGCTAGACCAGTGTGTCCTGGTCTACAGAGGTTCAACCTGTAAACACAATGCAGTTACTATCTCTCTCTATGTGGTAGAAATTGTGGAGGTAATTAAAATGTTAAACCTTAGCAAAGAAAAGGTATATAATGGCTGGTGATTAGAATAACAATTGAGAGATCTGGAAAATGTTGTTTTTCTTCACTCTGCTTTTACTCATTTTTTAAAAAAAAATATTTAATTTTACAGCTTTTATTACACTTATTTCTAAGAGCCTAAGTGCTAATATGAACCATGCAAAACTCTCTTCTTTGCCATTATGGAAAAGATGAGAGTGCAAAAAACACATGGATTCACTTTAAATATATTTTTGCTAACAAATGTTCCCCTGGTGCTTGATTCTCTGGTGACTTCATCCTAAATCTTGCAGCAAACTTGCATCAGTTTGATAGATAACTGTACAGGTTGCATGCAACTCACTTAAAAAGTTCAGAAAACATATCTTTTAAAATAACCATTTAACAGATATGATACATCAGGGTACTTTCGAGTAATTTTAACAACACTGTGGTGAATGGAAGGTCTGTTCAGGTAGTCACCATTGATCATCGGGGATTGCGTCCCAAGCCTGGTCTGAGAGTAGGAGAGTTTTGTGATTGGGGAGTGATGGGCGAAGCTTGAGATTTAAGGGGGCTTCACTCTCAAAGGAACCAGGAGCTTTCTGAGGTGCAATTAGCTCACAGAGGGTATCTCTAGACTACATGGTTCTGTCGCCAGAGCCATGTAGATCAGTTTACTAGACATACCCAAATAAAGAGGTGATTTAAATAATCGCCACTTCATTTAATGCCGCACTGAGCCGATCAGCTGTGTGGCAGCACAGCGCTGTATCTGGATGCTCCGCGGTCGACATCAAAGGCATTTGTCAACCTCCCTGGTAAATCTCATCCCACAAGGCATACCGGGGAGGTCAACAAATGCCTTTGATGTCCAGACTACAGCGCTGTGCCGCCAAACAGCTGATCAGCACAGTGCGGCAGCCATTTAAATTTAAACGAAGCGCTGATTATTTAAATCGCCACTTCATTTGGATATGTCTACTAAACTAATCTACATGGCTCTGGCAACAAATCCATATAGTCTAGACATACCCTAATTGTCTATTGTCCTTGTCCCTGGAACTTACGTTGTTGTTGTTGTTGTTGAAAAGTGGAAGCCTCCTTGGTTTCATTTTTATTCCTTAATCCTGAATATAACATAGTGAAATATGACCCATCAAAATATTGCCATAACCTTAGAAAACTGGAACAAGACTTGACTGACACAGTTCCCATATCCAAACTTACTTGGCAGTTGGAAGGTGGATATGACAGCATGAGCAAGAAACGACGAGGAGAGTTCTCTGAAATTAAAAAAACACCTAAAAAAATTAAGCTGCAGAATAGTGAGGGTTTAAATAAATCACCTCTGCACCCAACTTGCAACTCACAAACAAAAAAAGCAAACTTAACACAAACAAAATTAGTACAAATGTCAAACTCCAAATCAATTGCTCTGGATAAATTACTTCACACACCTAATCCTAATAGTCTTGATATGAAAGTAAAAGAATTATTTCTGGGTAAGAACCTGGCATCTGGTGCTAAGTCCAACAGGAATACTACCAGCATTTCAGACAGTGATATTGATTCTGAGGAAGAAATTAGAGCAGTGATAGAGAGAGAGAGAAAACTAAAAAAAGCTAAAACAAATGTTGAGTCTGAAAATGATCATTTGGAAGTTGTGGGGGATAATTTTGAGCTAAAATATAACACTCACTGGTGTTTAACCAGTCCAAGTATCATGAAGGAAGTGAGTAAGAGATGTAACATACAAGGAAAAACTAATGAAAATTACAGTGATTATGATTCAGCAGATACAGATGAAATTATTGCAGTGACTAAAGCTCCAGATGAAAACAGTGTGAAGACCAAAGCTCAAAGAGAGTATGAGCTGGTGAAAATGGAAGGAAAGGATAACTTTAGGAATGATACACATACAAATAACAAATGCGATTCTGTAAATGATTCCTTTGTACTATCACCTGATGAGTTAAAAGAAAATAATAATAATAAAGCAGAGCATAACAAAACAGCAGAAGACCAGGCTCCTGAACTACAGGACAACATCGGTGACAGCACGTCTGGGTCTACTGGTTTTGATTCAGACACAGAAGCAAGTGAATCTGATTCAGATTATGAAAACATGATGCAAAATTGTTATCACCTAAATCTTACATTACATGAGTTAGAAGCATTGGCCACTGAGAGTATTAAATCTTCAGATGGAAAAATAGAAGATAAACAGAGGAATAATAAGTGCAGAACTGAAGCTAATATTAGTAACACCAAGTATGGTCCAAAGTCCTATGAAATTGCTTCTACAACTAAAAAGTCTATTAATCCTGAAGATATAGTTGCTTCCATTTTAGAGGGAGAGGAGAGTGACGATGATAAGCCAGTGAAAAATACTTCAAGTTTAAAATTTCAGCCTTTCAGGGGACTAGGGTTATTATGTGAAAATGGGAATTTTGAGTCATTGACCAAGAAAGACTTGTGCAGCTGTAAAAGAAAATGTAACCAAAATTCCTTAAGCCCTGTTGATTTGAAAAATAAATCTTTAGAAGAGGTTTCAAAACCAAACTGTTCTTGTTATGGGAAACACTCAGCTCCCAGACAATCTAGCAATTCTGTATGTTTACTTGAAAACAGATGTGTGAAAAAGAAGCAAAGCACTCTCAGCAACCAGCTCCCAAAGGTTTCAGATTCCCAATACTCAGAAGGTGAAAGTGAAAAGTTTATTTGCAAACCACCTTTATTAGGAGAGAATAACTACTTGAATTTTCATGCAGAAGATCAAACAGCAAATAGAAGAGAGAATGAGGCCTGCACAACAGCTACTGAAAGTGAGGAGGAAAGCACTGACACAGATAGCACTTTGTCTGTTGCACAGAAGCACATTAAATGTGAATTGGCAAGCCCCACATCTCTTCCTGAGAAACCAAAGAAGGGTGCAAACAGTAAAAGTTCAGAGACTGAACTTCAGAAAAATGAGATCAATAAGAAAAGTCTTTGCAAAAGTAAAGACACACTTTGTGTTCCTATTACTATCCTAAGTGAGTCAAATGAAAAGGAGAAACAATTGCAGGATAATCAGAAGAGGCTGGCAGCTCTACAAGAGAGACTGAAAGAGAGAGAATTACAGAAGAAACTTATTCAAGGGGCTCTCTTGAACCTGGTAATTATGCTTTTAACTTGTTTCTGAACAGTAAAACAAAACTAAAAGAATACTTGTTTAATAAGTATCTGAAGTATAATAGTAATAGAGATGTAGCCATGTTAGTCTGGTCTTGCTGAAACAAAAGACAGGACTGTGCAGCACTTTAAAGACTATTAAGATTGTTTATTAGCTTTCGTGGGCCAGACCCACTTCCTCAGATCAAAGTGTACATATGGTCATGCCACTTTTCTTCCACAATTTGATCTGAGGAAGTGGGGCTGGCCCACGAAAGCTCATCACCTAATAAACCATCTTATTAGTCTTTAAAGTGCTGCACAGTCCTGTCTTTTATCTCAAGTATGTGTACTCTGAAGTTTGACTCATATTTAAGAGCAGTGTCTATCTTATTTGCCAGTTTGATTTTTAGGATGAGTCCAAAATATGTATACTTCCATGATGGGATTTTTTTCCAGAAAACACAATAGGTGAATTAATTACATTTTTGTAAATGTGCCCAGCAGAATATAACCAATATTTGACACGTTAAACTTAACAGTGTCTCTCTTTTTCCAGGATAGCCAGTCAGCAAAGAAACATAAGCACATTGTATTTGATTCAGATGGGGAAAGTGAACCTGAAGTAGAAGAGAAGTCTAAAGAAGAAGCAACTATAGGAAATCTAGGAAAAGTAAGTGTCTTAAAAACAAGTGCAGCCTAATCTCTTAGAGAGCATTTACCTCCCTAGCTCACTGGCATGTATTGTACGGAAGAGCAACACCTATTGGTATTCAGAATTCCAGATAAAATCTTCAATATTTTCCTTTTCTGTTAATGGATATAAAACATGAGACAAAATATCAAAATGCATATCAGTAAAGTTTTAAAAAACATGATTTTATAAATTGAGGGTGATGCAACTTTTGGAGTATACTTATGGAAACTGAAAAACAAGCACTCTACTGGATAAAATAGCTTGTATAAATTATTAGCAGTGCAATGTTCACAGGCTATCACAACTCACAAACCATAAGAGTAATGGTCACACATTAGGAAGGCTGGATAAAGGAGGTCCCTTAAGGAAAGGAGAGAGAAGGGATGGGTTCTGGAGTGCCCTAGGGGATAGGGTATGTGCCTGGGGAGCGCAGGGTTGGGAACTTGAGTCCCTCCACCCCTTCCTCCACCACTCCCCCGAGAGCGGCTAGACAGCCAACACCAGCTGCCCCAGGATTGGGGCTGGCTCCCTCATTAGGAAGGCAGAATAAGGGAGGCCCTGAAGGTAGGACGGTGGGATGGCTTACATGTGGTTATGCCAGAGCTTCACTTTCCAGTGTAGTCAGTTAAATGAAAGGAGGAAGATTTGATTTGCCCCATATTGTGCTCAGTAAGTGGCAGAGCTGGAAAAAGGACTGGAAATTTGGAATTCATGATTCTATAATCTATCCACTGGCTCTTACATTATTTGGGATGGAGTAATTCCAGCCAACAAATGACAGTGAAATGCACAGGTTATGCTTGTCAAGTCAATAATACATTCACATTTACTGAGCCTTGTTTTAATTATTAGTTTTGGTAACTGAGCAGAAATGTTTTGTATTTTATTATTAACTGTAATGTAAGATTTTTTTTTTAATTATATACTAGGGGTGTGTCTACATTGGCACCCTTTTCCGGAAAAGGGATGCTAATGAGACCAGTCGGAATTGCAAATGCCACAGGGGATTTAAATATCCCCCGCGGCATTTGCATGAACATGGCTGCCACTTTTTTCCGGCTTGGGGGTTTGCCGGAGAAGAGCGCCAGTCTAGACGGGATCTTGCAGAAAATAAACCCTTTTCCGGAAGATCCCTTATTCCAGCTCTACAAGAGAGACAGAAAGATAGAGAATTACAGAAGAAAAAAGGGTTTATTATCCGCAAAACCCCAAGCCGGAAAAAAGTGGCAGTCATTGTCATGCAAATGCCGCGGGGGATATTTAAATCCCCTGTGGCATTTGCAATTCCGACTGGTCTCATTAGCATCCCTTTTCCGGAAAAGGGTGCCAATGTAGACACAGCCTAGATGAATATGGGCTTTTGCTGTATGAATAGGCATATTCTTCTAGAAACTGTCCATGAAGAATGTAGAACAAAATGTGCAGAAAAAGTGGATATTTGCTTATTACATGAGCAACTGTGGCAAAATTACATCTGCAATGTATCTGTTTCATTGATGACCTACAAAGCAGAAGATACATTTTAAATTGGCCCTCTTGACTAAAAGTGTAGTTTGAGTACATTTTGGACCTTTTCCTTTAACTTTACTTAACTAAAAAAATTATAAAAACAGCGAGCAGTCCTGCAGCACTTTATATATTTTATATTTATTTAAATATTTTTACCCTGCCTTTCTATTTAAAATATTCAAGGTGGCTTACAAAAAAACCCACAATACAAATATATATTAAAATTTAAAATGAGACCCTAGAGGGACAAAACCAGCTAAAAACATATAGAGAGGAGGAACACACACATACAAACTCAAACATTAATAAAAGCACGGATAAAAAGGGTGGCTTTAGCCTGACGCCAAAACAACGCTAGAGTTGGCGCCATGCAAATATCCCGAGGAAGAGAATTCCACAGCCTGGGAGCAAAAGCTGAGAATGCCCTGTTCTGCGTAGATGTTAATCTTATCTCCACAAGTGGGAGAACACGAAGCAAAGCCTCCCCAGCTGGTAGGTTCATATGGAAGAAGACAGTCCTTCAGATACTCTGGACCCAACTCATTTAAGGCTTTATAGGTCATAACTAAAACCTTAAATTGTGCCCGGAAACATACCGGAAGCCAGTGCAGCTGCCGAAGCACTTGTCATAATGTGCTCCATATAACTAGTGTTAGTTAAAACTCAAGCAGCCGCATTCTGGACCAGTTGAAGTTTCCAAAGGCTCTTTAGAGGCAGCCCCACATAAAGTGCATTACAGTAATCCAGTCGGGATGTAACAAGAGCATGGATCACTGTGGCCAAGTCATAGTTGTTCAGTAAGGGTCGCAGCTGGCGGATCAAACGAAGTTGCCCAAAGGCTCTCCTGACCACTGAAGAAATCTGATTTTCAAATGTTAAAAAAGGGTCCGGGAGGACTCCCGAGCTGTGTACTTGTTCTTTCAGGGGTGAGTAACCCCGTCTAGAACAGGTGCCATGCTACATTCATGAACAGATGGCCTACTGATCCACAGGACTTCAGTCTTATCTGGGTTCAACTTCAGCTTATTTGACTTCATCCAAACCATCACTGCCTCCAGACACCAATTTAGATCAGTCACTGCCGCACCTGGTTCTAATGTCACAGGGAAATAGAGTTGGGTGTCATCTGCATATTGATGGCACCGTCCTCCAAAACTCCTTATGACCTCTCCCAGCGGCTTCATGTAGATATTCAACAGCATAGAGGACAAGAGGTAACTTTGCGGCACCCCCATAGCACAATCACCACGGGGTCGAATAGTAACCCCCTAGCTCCACCTTCTGAAAGCATCCCGACAGGTGGGACCGGAACCACTGCAAAACAGTGCCTCCAATACCCAACTCCGCTAAAGATAACTTTAGTGATTAACCAAAAAATGTAGACTAACAGAAAACGGATAATACCATCCACAGTTTTGTAGTCTCTAAAGTGCTGCAGGACTACTTGCTGTTCTAAGTTTTTTCGGTTACAGACTGCATGATAGGTGCCCCTGCCTCAGCCCCCACAAGTTCCAGCAATGACTGGGTTGGAGGAGCCTTACCCTTTAAGCCTTTGGCTCCCACTCACAAAGCCAACTCTATTACTGTGGGCTACTAAAAATGTTATTCACCATATATGAAATTCTACCAGACCTAAGAGATTGAACACCTTGCCCACTAGGGCAATGAATGTTTCAGATCTGTTCCAAATACACACTTACAGCCAATCCTTATTTAACGGAAATGAGGATTTAATACATACAGATATTAATAAAATTGTCAGATTCATTGTAGATATGGTGAGGCTGTTGATTTGTTAAAAATCTTTCCATAATCCATTTAAAAGGTTATAGTCCAACAGGCAGCCCATATGCAGAGTTTGTTCACATTCATCTATGAGAATTGTAGGATTAATCGAGAATAAACATGGAGACTTCAGTTTTGTGGGCTTAGTCTTTCCCTGTCAAAATTTCAAGAGATGTCCATTAAAATAGGATCAGATCCAATGCTTTCTTTATAGCTGAGGTTCAGTGAACACGTCTCTTGACAGCAGATAATCACAGCTGACCTTCGTTACATGATTAGGTAACTTACATTATTGTTTGAAGCTAATTTCTATTTCCTAGGCATATCCTGGTAACTAGTTGCATTCATTACCATATGGTAATTAACCATCAAACAGTTCATAGGTAGTTTACTACACATTTCAAAGAGAAATAAGACCAATAATAATATTATGCCTTAAGTCCTATCAAAATCATAATATCCTCTTCTCTGAATCAATAGAATTCAGTAATGAAACATTATAGACAGCTAATTAATCACATAGTCAAACTTCTAATAAGATATAGATAAACAGACAAATACAATTAGTATTTATTCTTGATTCTCTAACAATATAGGAATACATACCAAGAATTCTAGTCAACTTAACATGGCTTTGATAACTATCTATAAGGACATGCCATTTTGATACTCTCCTAATATGTAATTAAGAGTTGCTTTCAGGTCAGCAAGCCTCTCGCTGATTCAGCATCACGGTAACTTATAAAATAAAATCATAAACTGCAGTTACTATGTACTAGAGAATTAAGGTTTAACTGGTTAATCTAGTGAATCTCTAGCCTCTATTTCTCTGGAGGTGGGTGACAAGGGAGGGATCAAGTACGGATTACCCGTTGTGTTCCCTCCCTGTGGGCATCTGGTATTGGCCACTGTCAGCAGACAGGATACTGGGCTAGATGGACCTTTGGTCTGATCCAGTATGGCCGTTCTTAATTGATTAAATGGGATTTTACATCCCAATTATGTACAGAAATTTGCTCCTGCCACACTTGAATGATCACAACTATCAAATGAAAATGAAAATAGCAAAGAATTGTTTCAGAACATGTAAAAAGATGTTAACAGCTGGTTTACAATGATTCATATATGTGGACATCAGTAACTAGTAGAAGTAAATGTGGTGTCATAAGAATGCTTTTTAGCTGTATTTGGAAAGAAATACAAAACAAATGGGTATTGGTTGATAATGTTCTTAGAACTACTTATTAAATCTGTTTCTTCTGTGTGTTTTGCTTTTCTTAAACAATTAAGGGATTTACTAGTAAAATATCTGGGAAATTATTTGAGAGCAGTGAGGATGAGCAGGATGCTGCAGGAGAAGATGACAGATTTGAAATCAAACCCCAGTTTGAAGGCAAAGCTGGTGAGAAGGTTAGTGAACCTATTTAATAGTATCTGAAGTTACTTGAAAAGGCTGATGTTGACAAAGTTATGGTAATCTGTGAATTGGAAAAGTCCTTTTAGATATAAAGGAAATAACATTATCTCAATGGTGTAATTTCTCTTTCCTACATCCTCAAGCTGCAGTCAAATGGTATTTTCAAAAGAGCTTTCTAGACCAGATTCTAACGGTGAAAGCTTTACACGGCCATGATGCAAGTTAAGACTAATACTGCTTGTTTCTTTGTTATAAAGCTGCTGGATTGCATACATTTAATTTTTTGTTTTGTTATCAATGTAGCTCATGCGTTTACAGTCACGGTTTGGCACAGATGAAAGATTCCGGATGGATGTTCGGTTCCTTGAAAGTGACAGTGAAGAGGAAGGTAAAGCTTTTTTCTTTTATTTTCCATTACTTGCTCTTTCACAGCTATTTTTAGTAACAGCTACTTTGTAATAATAGAGAAGTATGATGAGTTCTTAGAAATACTTAGTACACATTTCTCTTCTCTGCGTTAACTCCATGGGAAAATAATTGTAAAAGCAAGTAGTGCTGGTGTCTGTAAACAGAGCACATATTTATGAAATGGCCTATTTAGCTACTATAAACTCTAGTTTGGCATGTATTTCTTTGTTCGAAAATCAACATTTTAAAACACATTTATTTTGCTATCATCCTATAATAAAGAATCTGCATCTTTTGCAAGATTTGAGGATACCATTAACCAAAGTAACCTTGCTTATTTTTGTATCCTTTGGGTATACTTGGATTTTATTTTACCATGCTATTCAATGATCACAAGAGGGAGTGTTGTCAGCTGAGCTGGTTGAATAATACAAAAATATCCTGAGAAGAAAAACAATTGGCAAAAGAATCACCCTATCAATACAAAACAAATTCCAACCAACCAACCATGTTAAAAAAAAATCAATTTTTTTAGCCAGTCCTCCTTCTCGTGTAAATATTTTTGTGCCTATCCCCAGGATAACATCTGGATAATGATTATAAAATAGAAGATAGTTATGGGACAGAAAAATGTTTACATTTCTATCTTTCATGTTAAATTGATGCCAGTATCTAAGCAAAGTTTGCCATAACTTCAAGAGGAAAACAAAATACATTGTTTAAGAAGTTTTAAAATAAGGAAAACATGGCCCACACCTTTTCAACTAAAACTCTATGAGCTTCTTAACTAACTTACTGGTGTTGTAAAAGAGTCATTTCATAGCTGTGTTAATATTTTTTTCCCTAGAAGAGACAAAGGAAGTGAAGATGGATGAGGAAAAAGAAATTGCTGCTGAGAAAAAGAAAAATTTAGAGATATTGGGAAGTCTCTTGCAGATTAACCTACAACATCCTAAATCAAGCAAACTAACAACAAATATAAAAAAATTCAAGTAAGGATTCTGCTTTAGCGAAGAAGTCTAAATCTTAGGAATACTATAATTTTCTGTTGTGACATAATTTACTCTCTATTTTGAGCTTACTGAAAACAAATTTCTCTTCCTCCTTATTACATGTGAAGGAGGTCAGCTTTGATCTCAGGCTCCCCATCCAGTGTGACAAATTATATCATTTGTGAAAATCATTATTTATATACTGCCATTGTGCATGAGACCAGAGCATATGCTTTTCTTTTAGCATCCAAAGAAAGACAGTCTCAAAATGGACAGTAGGTTAAATAGCAAGTTAATGATTTTTGGAGGCTAGAATTAAGATTTCTGTAGATCATAAGTGAACGTGAGTTTGGTTCTCTTACTAGCCTCTCGTGGATGGTATTGGCCGCATCTAATTGCCATCTCTGCTCATCATTAACATCCAATTTTTTTCCTAGACAGAATTGTTTTGTAAAACCATATACAGTAACATGCATAGCCTGTCCTTACTACTGTTGGGATGTTTCTTCAGTATGTTAGGAATTAATTCTGTCTCCCATCGCACATGTCCGAGGAAGTCACAATTTCTAACTACAACACGTTTAATAATACATATCAAAAACTCATCTCTTTTTTGTTTTTCAATCCATATAGTTGGAGGAGAAATTCATCTTTGGGCTGAAACACCTCAAGTGTGTTGAAGTATTTTGCAAACAGTATATTTTCAGGCCCAACTTCCATTGTTGGTGTATAGGCCTGTTGGGTATTGTGGCAGATCCCTACCAATTTTACCGTTGTATGAATCTTACGAAGATTTATATGTATTTTCTAAAGATTTTCTTAACTAATTCAATGGCGTCCTTTCCTATTCTTGCCAGCCTAGAAATTAAATAACTATTTTGTTTGGGTTAATTTATGTGATAGCATAAATTAACAGTGTTTAATTTCACAGAGCAAGAGAACAGAATATTTGGTTGACTATTTTGCATTGTCTTAGGCTGGATGGAATATTACCATCAGGCTATATTTTCTGATCTAAATTTGGGCTTCATTAGCTAATTTCACTAACATTTTCAGCTTTGAATGAGGGGGGAATCTCCCTTTTTTATATATATTTGGAAGTTATCTCCAAATATAAACCTCCAAATGATGATAATATATGTACCTGTTAACTTCATTGTTTCATAGAGAACAATTGGCAGGTGTTTTAATGTTGAATACTTTAATAGTTAGATGTTAAGAATGTTATGTGGAATCTTTTTCCTATTTACAGTACAAACTGTAGCCCACACTGATCTGATTTCATAATGCTAATCATTTTTACTATATAAAAACAAAAGTGAATATCAATCTACCAGTGAACACAAATAAGATAAATTCAATGACTTTTTTAATTATCAGCTGTTACATTTTTAGACGTTTAGCTTCAGTATCTCTAAATTCTTGTCATTCTTCTTATTTATAGAGATATTAATACCTTGCGCTATGACCCCACAAGGCAGGACCATGCAGTTTTTGAAAGGAAAACAGATACTACAGAAAAAGAAAGGTAATTCACTTCCTGGTAGTTGCACGACAATTTTTCTTCCCCTTGAGGACTACTTTTCAAACGTTGCAGGGGCATAAGCTTGTCACTTTACTTGCTTTCCTGCCACCTTTGCAGCTCTCCCAATCACTAATACATTTTAGACACTATAAAGATTCCTTTTAGTACAGCTTGGAAAAGATCAGAATAGTCACTGGTCTCTCAAAATCAGACAGTTAAGAGTAAACAGCAGAAGGGAAAAGTTATCTGTATATGCTGAAGGGAGGAAATAGTTGAAAAATTGAGAAAACAATTATGAAGAATAGCAGACAACCTGATAGTGGATTCATATAGTCCCTCAATAGGAAGTCACCTATAAGTAATACAAATAATCGTCAAAGGTCAACCAAAAGAAAACCCCATACCTTTCAAATGTACAGTGCTTAATTGTTTTTTAAATAAATATAATTCCAGTAAAGCTAAAAGAAAGAAGAAAAGGGAAGAGGCAGAGAAATTGCCTGAAGTATCTAAAGAAATATACTATGATGTTGCTGTGGATTTAAAAGAAGCATTTGGGTCAGTAAAATGTGCAGCTGAAAAAAGTGAAGTAGTACCCTGGGATAAACATGATGATGTAGAAGAATCAACTCTGGCTGATGAGCACACATTAAAGCATAATATTGGGGATAATGCAGAAGAAAACTCTAGTGGCTTCACATTTTCCTTTTTTGGTGATGATATGAACAAGTCAGCTGTGAAAGAAGGTAATAATGCAGGTTCTAGTACTCTTTAAATAGTTTATTATTCTAAGGTTTGAATCGCTTATTAAATATAATCTTAAAATGACAGACCAGGATGTATGAAATCATCCTTTTGTCAAACAGATTAAACAGTACTCATGGACACGTAAGCAATATTTGAAGCAAATTCTTACAGTTATTAAGCAAGACTTTCATATTTCCTCAGAGCATTGTACACAGGCATTACAAGTAAGATTAATGCGTGGAGCAACGTCCAGTATTTTACAGAATCTATACATATTCTTACAAATCTAACACCTATCATGAATAGTATTAACGAACAAGTGAGCTGGTCTGTGAGCATCATAATTTTCATGTAAAGAATTGCTTTCTACTTGGAATTGGTCATCATGCTGTTGGCTTTGAATAATATGCTGTATCATACAGGAAAAGACTTGGATTCTTGTCCCCTTATCTTCTTTGACAGATCAGCAAAAGCTGAGAATGCTGGCTAGGCACTATGCTTATCCTCAGGGTCTTTAACAGCAATCCCCCTAGCTAAAGAAAAGTAACACTTACTGGCTCCAAAAGAAATCTGCTATTCTCTATGTTAAGCTTAAATGATATTGGCTGTAGAATTGAGGATGGAAATATGTAGATTTTCCCTATCTTTCTATGCTTTGTATCCTTCTGAAAACACAAAAAGTGTCCTTTTCAAATCAGATACTTTGTACTTATCTAAACAGATGTTTCACTTTGTAGTTAGGGGAATAATCAGACTTCTTGGTGGTTCTATTGCAGAGCCCTATGTAATTGAAACAATAAGACCTGCAAAAGTATCGTGGCAAGAGGATCCCCGTTTCCAGGACAGCAGCTCTGAGGAAGATGAGCCAGAAGCTTCTGAAAGTGAAAACTTCAAAGACATGTAAATCTAATTTTATATTTTGTGGCTATTATATACTTGTTGTCAGTATTTGTGTGGCAGCTGGGAAAAATCCTTTTACTTGGTACCCCTCACTTCCACCACAGCATCTTCTCATTCTGGAAAACTGAGTTCTGTACTGTCCACCAGGCAGGTTGCTGCTCTACACTGAAAATTCCCAGATGCACGGATTTGACTGCAGCTGAAGGTGAAAACTGGCTTTCCTGCCTTCTAAATGCTGCTCAATAGCTCACGTGCATTGCAACATAATATAATATTTAAAAAAATTACTGCACACAAATATTTTTGTTCTTGTCCAATAATTAGATTTACATGCAAGCTGTTGGTAAGTAGGGATGTAAAATCCCATATCATTGGTTATGATGTTTAACAGTTAACCAATTAAAGAAGGGGTGGGTGGGGGGGCAGG